TCGACTTCAGCTACGTTATTCACGTAGCTGAAGTTGTGTACCTTAGTTCGAACTTACCACGGTCCAGACCCGGCAGGCAGGCTCCCCCGTCGACTCCGCGTACTCCTCGCGGCGAGCAGGATTACCGGAGTCGACGGGGAGCACTTCTGAGTTCGATTTATCGCGTCCAGACAAGAAGCGATAAATCGAACCCAGAAGTTCGATTGCCTGCCGCCGAACCAGCGCGTAAGTATAGACAAGCCCTTAGTGTCAGCGTGTCAGGATTAAATCTTCCAGTCCCACATTCATCCTTCTAGCAATGGCTGTTCTCATTTTTAGTCTCCGTTTCTTACCTTTCGTTTACGTTTTTATATATATAGCATTCCTTTTATGTTGTGACTTCCTAAGTAATTTCCAGTATAAAAGCTTTTCTATCGAGGGCATTTTGAAAATGTAAATCTATAATGTTCTTAGGTCACTGTTACACTACAACGCAATAATCAAGGAAACTTAAGTTAGAAAAGAATCGCTGCAAATTAGATTGTAGATCTTCAGGTCAGGATCAATACATTATCTATACTTTTATGTCCCTAGTGTGCATATTGTTGGGTGCGTGAATAATGGGTAGCAGCAGCCTCAAAACCATATTTAATAATCAAAATTGCTGGTTTCTTCCAAGCAAGTGTTTCTCAAATTGACTCTGGCTATAATGATCAGAAAACAGTAACCCAGAAGTCCTGAAACCATTGCACTGAATTTCACCGATAATGCTGCACTTACCTGTAAAAAGGAAAAATATCAAAACCATGATCATAGTATACCCGAAGTATAAAATGGTACTAGCAGTTCCCGTTATTTGGAGTTTAGAGAAGAAGTAATGAACCGCATAGATAAAAAGATAAACGGCTGTAAAGCTGCTCGTTAAGAACGATCTCCACCACCAATGATAATCCTGAAAGAAATAATAAACCATTTCAGGAAAAAATCCAAGTACAAAACTAAAACTGCACTTTTATTTCAAAGCAAAGCACTATTTACAAGTCTATGAAAGATTAAATTAATTCTTGGCATATTTCTACACTCACTCTTGCTTAAACTCCTTTTCATTAAAATTATGCTTTTCCAATTGCTATTTCTTTCTCAAAGTCAATTCTGTCAGGATGTTTCAACTATGAACGTGAAACTCTGTTATCCAGGGGACCTACAGCAAATGTCTGTTCAGTCTACAAAGTCTCAGGAGAATGTGCTGGGGATTTAACTAATTTTTTTTGTTTTGTAGATTTTAAAAAGTTGCAGAATTATACATTTACACAGGGTAATGTGTTACAAGTAACTTAATTCATTGAAACAATTTCACAGATGTGTAGCAGCTCTCACGCTCAAGGATCCCACAGCACCTTGCAAGTTTACATATATATGGTACAAGTATCCACCACAGAAATGCAGCCACAAGGGGCAACACAATAGTAGTTTAACTGCACAGCACAACTATAGCATTCAAGAGTGGAAATGAACACTGTGGTTGAGGACCAAATCTTCAAAAGTCTGCAAAAACTGCCAACATACATACCCCTTGATGAGTGTACCCTCAAGAAAGAATAAGTGTATACACAAGATTGGATGGCACGCAAAGTTAAGCAAATTTGGTACTGAAACTGCAGAGCAATTATAAGTTACACTGGCCACAGCATATTGGAAACCTTAACTCATGATTTACAGGGAACAGTCACAAATGGGACTTCATTCTTTCACTGTTATTTTAAATACACATAGTTGAGAATGTGTCAAACTTTCTGCAAAAGTGTTAGTGAAATCAGATTCAAAGCTTTCTTTAAACCACAAGAATTATTTTATTGGCGATCGCTAGAAAATATTTAAGTAGCCCTTTTCAGTAAGGACAAAATTACTAAAACCAGTGTAAAATACCTCATTAGTGATCAATTTGAAAGCAACATCTCTCCCCCTTTATATTGATGACTTTGTAATGCCATGCCTGATATTAGTAGCATAAAGCCTCCAAACCTGAGCACTGACATCTTATGCCCAACAGTTGACTTAAATCAAGCTGTTCATAACCTTAAAAAGTATACCTCTGCCAGACCAGCTGGAGACTCATTTCCTGTTTTGTGGCTCCTCTACCATTACAGGACCATTCCAGTGTGTAAAACGAGAGCTTGCACTGCTAGCTGCAGTTGCAGTGACAAGGCAGAAATTGTTTTTGAAAATGTTACTTGTATATATTACAAAACATAGGCCAACAACATAACCAGGCCAAAGGTACATACAAAATCCTGACAATACATCCACATAGTCCACAGTGTCCAGCACTTTGCAGAGGTGGCCGTGCATAGGCATCCTTGCAAACTTCACTCTGACATGTTCCAGCTAGCTATGCACTGTGCTGTCATGATATATGCATCCAAATAATATGTTCATTTACCTCTGCACATAGATGGAAATAGCACAGCAAGACTGTAGCCTCAGAACACGTAATAAGAAGAATTATAAACACTAAGAACAGGAAACCAAACATGTAGTACATTTGATGGGACCTAAAACACACAAAAGAAATCTGTGTCAAATTAGTGTTCACTTTTTTTGTGTTACATACCTAAGAAATAAGTAATCAGAAAACAGAACGGGCTTTATCTGCATTGCTGACATACTCCTACAAATCTTGAGTCTGTACCTGCTATCCCTCTACCTTCACGAGTAAATACGCTGCTTACACAATTGCATTGTTACAAGTCAGGGAAAGGGCACCTCAAAGCAATAGCATCGTTTGTAAAACAATTAGACCCTGATTATATAGGCCAGGGAAATCATTCCTTTCCCTCACCTTTCTGTCAAGGACTGTTCCCACTAGAAAGGTACTTATGATTTCAAATCTCAGGGCCTTCTGAGCCCTAATGATCCACTGGCTCTCCCGTGCTGCTCTTCAGCTTAACATCTGCCTCCTTCACGTTGCTGCAATTAGTCCTCCAGCTGTCTTATTTCACCATGCTACACCTTCTAACAGTCGCTCCTCCACTCCCAGACTCCTATCCCTAGACAAATCAATCTTACTCCAGTTCAAGGGTCATCTAAACGCTTGACCATACAAAAATGCACCCTTTCCTACCAAGTGCATAAGTATCTTTTTTATGAGATGTGGGAGGAAGCATTAAATGTAATAATTAGAAGGATGCAATTACTATAATTTAAAGAATTCACAAAAAGGGAATACTGGCAAATTCCTTCATGTCTCCCTCCTCATTTTTCTGAATCCACTGTTTTGGGTTCTCCATGCTCATTGTACATGCCATTTTTGAGCTGACAGCCCAGCCTACCTATCAAGTAAAGATACAATACTCACCAAATACTGTTTAGAATGAAAAAAAGCTGAATAAAAATACAACCAAATGGCAAGATGCCACCCATGATGATACCAGGCAACGGCTTTGTGAAAAATGACTGCTCCGGGATCTGACGAGGAATCTGGTTTGTACGAACTGGGTGTTCAATAGGCTTTGAGAGAAATTAATACAATTAAAAAAGACAAATAACTGTAAATACCATAGTAAGAAGGTAAGATAGGAAAGTGTTAAAATAATTAAAGACACTTAAGAGGATTTTTTCCTAATATCAGCTCCTTGGAACTTGACATGCTTAACTCTCCCATTATATTCATCCATAAACTGTGCCATAAGTAAGGCTATGTTTTACTCACAGATTTTTTAGTAAAAGTCATGGACAGGTCACGGGCAGTAAACAAAAATTCACGGCCCATGACCTGTCTATGACTTTTCCTATAAATCCCTAACTAAAACTTGGGCGGGGGGCTGTGGGTGCATTGGGGGGGCGGTCCAGGGGCACTGCGGGAGGTGGCCCAGGACCCCACTGGTGCTGGGGGAGGAGGGCCAGGCCACATCCACTGTTGCTGGGGGAGGGGGAGGGGACAGCGGACGGGACCCCCGCTAGTGCTGGGGGAGGGGGACTGCGGGCATGGACAGCATGCAGAGCCCCCTGCCCTCTCCACCGCCTAGTAGCTGCAGGGCCATGCCAGTGGGAGCTGGGGAGCCCCCCACCCCTCAATCCCTAGCCCTGAGCCCCCTTCCACACTCCCAAACTGCTGTTGCTGGCCGCTGCAGAAGTCACAGAATCCAAGACTTCTGTGACAGACTCGCAGCCCTTAGCCATACGCCATATCTCTGAAGATTACAAACTAATGCACAAACCAACAAACAGTGATTTTTTTGGAAATTCCACTTCAGTGGTGACCTAGTAAATTTCAACATGCAGGAGGGAGAGGTCTTTATTTAGTTTTTGATGGAATTACTGAATTTCTTCTAGATGTGTTAACAAGTCAGAGGACTATAGCACACATACTGTGTAGACAAGAGGAATGTCAATAAAGATATGTTCTTAGAAGAGAGATCCTGAATGGCCAGAAAAATATTTTGAAAATCAGTTTGTATTCTTGTCTACCATACAAAAAGATCAGAAGTTGGCAAACAGTTCATTTCAGAATGGACAGCCATATGCATCTTAGCCAAATTCTGGTGTTTTGATGTTGTCAGCTAACACACTAATGCCGCATGATGTTAGAACAGAAAAAGTATTATACTGAGTGACAGATAAGACACACTTAAACAATGTACTCAAAAACTACCTTTTCTTTGAATCCAAAATATGCACCAATGAAGGTTAATGGGACAGAAATTCCAAACCACATTGCCAGGATAGCAACCAGTGTACCAAAGGGGATGGCAGCTGATGATCCCTTCACCCACAGAATAAGATTCATAATGAAGAAATCAGCAAAGACAATTCTGAAAAAAAAACAATTTTCTCACTAGCAGCGTAAAATCAGAAGAGAATTAAATATTTTAAGGTGATTCATAAAACTAAAGGATTATGAATATCCACTTGTAGGCTATTTCATTCTCTATTTGTGCAATATTGTTTCACCACTAATACATAAAAAGTGGTAATTATCACTTTCAACAACTAGTTGTTTTTAATCTTTAGGGTCTTTTAGCAATAAGGCCACTTATTTGGAAGACCTTTAACTGGCTACAAATAAACTGAGGGAACGTGAAGAGACACTATCACAAAAAACATGACATGGTGTTTTTAGCAAGTACTCTCTTGACTGTACTGTACTTTGCCAGCCCTTCCTTTCCCATCACTGCTATTTTCTGGTAATGCTTTTAAATAGCTCTTTTCTAATGAACCTGTTATTCCTTCTGCCAAATTCAGTCATTACTGGCAAAACCCACTGTTCAAGATACCACAAACTACATTAGGGCTACCACAGGCTAATCTTAGAAAAAGCTTATTGTTACAACCAAAATCTCTCTTCAGCCGTGGGACACATTACATAAGAAGTGAACAAAAAAAGTGTGCTAGTTCAATAACATTACATCTTTGTACTATTTTAAGAAATTCACAATTTCAAAGGGAGCTAAGCTACTGAAGCAAGAGTGTGTTATTTCTTCAATTTAATCAGCACGATACACCTCTACCCCGATATAATGCGACCCAATATAACACAAATTCGGATATAACGCGGTAAAGCAGTGCTCCGGGGGGCAGGGCTAAGCACTCCGGTGGATCAAAGCAAGTTCAATATAACGCGGTTTCATCTATAACACGGTAAGATTTTTTGGCTCCCGAGGACAGTGTTATATCGAAGTAGAGGTGTACCTTCATTTTTTCAAAATCTATAAAAAGAAAAACTATTCAGAGTTTGCTAAGCCCTAAAGGCTGGTTTTCTAAGCCTGAAGAAGTCCTCTTCTTACACTTTTAGTGCAGAATTATGTCACAAAGCAAACAACTTCCTCACCCCATTTTATTCCCCTAAACCCTCCATTCAAAAACAAAAAAAAAAAAAAAAAAAGGTTTTAAAGACTTCGATTTTGGAAATTAACAAGACTTATGTCATGCTCTCCTGCACCCTCTCCACCTGCTTTCTGAAAATCCTTTCAACAAATGAGACTGAAACCCAGTTTAAATTTGAGAGGAGTGATTAAGATTTCAAACATGTTCCATTGAGTAATAAAGCAAAAAAATACATTGCCAGAGAACCTCATCTGGGAATCTGCATCATTCTCACCATCCAGGGTACAGGAGAAGCATCAGTCCCAGGAAGGGGCATTGCCAAATGAACCACTCACTGGGACTCATATGGAAGAATTCTTGAAACAGAATTTACACTAGTCTCAGAGGAAGCTACCCATTCCACTGTATTGGACAACGTCATGCAAAACAAAAGCAGTGGGCAAGCCATTGCACAAATGGTTCCCAAATACTTCTGTGAGTAGCATCCTATAAATGTGCAATCAAATGCAGTTAAAGCAAACTGCATGGTGTATTTTAGACCTTGTCCATGTCAGTAATCCAATCTCTGCTTCTCCCCTTCCAAAGATAAAGGAAAAATACTTTGTATATAAACTCAGTCTACTGAGTATATAGAACTGCCTTGGGCTGTTTATGACATTATGCAGTTTCACTGAACAAGCACAGCATAATCAAGACATCTGTTCTTATTTTACCAATCCCAATCATTCTGCTTCCTCTATGAAACTGAATATATTCTGGAGTTTAAATTATCAGCATGATTTTTTTTCTACAGATAAATACCCTCTGCACTGTGAAGATATCTAAATGACAGCAGGAAAAGACTGAAGCATATTTTGTTTAGGAATAAGATTTCCACATAGAAATACTACAAATTCAGTTGTTATCCAATACATCAGGTTTCATTCGATCCAATTCTAGTTTATTCAAACCAAGCCATGTTTTATTAATTCTATTTTTCATCTGTCTTCATTCAAAAGATAGAGACTTCTGCTGAAAACATATCTTGTTAAACTCCATTCTGAAATAGGTTATCTTGAATAAAAATCTGAAGCCAAATTCAAGATATTTACTGAACACAAATCAGAAAAATTGCTTTAACTATTCACTATGCCAATAATCTCCTATATACATTATATACATTTATTTTCCACTCTACCACCCACCCAGAAAGCTGTGCCAAGGACTACCTCTAATAGGCAACCTTCTGTCTTAAAGGACCACTTTAAATTACCTCTAAGGTTACCAGTACAATTGTATATACAACATTAATTTTAAATGATGATATTTTTAGATACATAGACATAAAAACATACCCGAAATCCTAGTTTCCAAATGAAATGTTCCTAAACCCAATTTTAAAAGCTATACATGCAGAACACCATATTGTTCTTCATGAACTATTCTCTTGTCCTGTCTTTAGCAAGATTATTCACTGCAGTAGAACACAGCTGCTATTTTAGTCATAAAAATAATTTTGTATAGAACACTAAATATATTCAAGATACAAAGAACAAGATAAAGTATTTGTACCACATTAGTAAGGAACTAAATTTACAGTATCAGATCTAACCCTACTTTCCATATACTAAGTATGAATAGTGTGTGACTGACTTCAATGGGGACAGGATCTAGCCCCGATTTATAAAGGTGCTCTAGACAGAATAGCCTTTCCAAAAAGCCACCATAATAAGCCATGCATTCACAATGAAATATAGTCCCTACTATGTTAACATGAGGATCCAGAAAATACTCAGTGCTGTAATCTAAGAGCAGTTGTATTGTATCAGGATTAACTGCACCAGCAACAATACAACTAAGTCAATGGTTCACAAATTTTTCCATGCCATGACCTCATCTTACAACAACAAAAACCCATGTTTCAGGCCCCACCTCCATAGTGTTGGGACTACTTATGAAGAAAGGGAGGGTGGTCGTGACCCCTAGGTTGAGAAGCCATGCTCTAGAACATTATGTAATTTGCAAACTCTCCAAATGCAGGCTGTGATCTACAAGCCTTTCTTCCCACTCTAAGATGTTCTGTGTAGAAAGGAAAATAAAGTAGGGAAACAATAAAGGCAATGGCACAGCCCTTGAAAGAGAGTTCTGTGCTAAGAAATTAGTATTTTTATTTGTGGTAACTGTTATATACAAGACTACAGGAAAGAACAATTTCATAAGAGTAAGGAACAAAAAGTACTAACCCAGGGCACAACAGAGCTGTCAGCAAAACATTTGTCTTCCACTTTTCACCTCGAAATGCTGAGGAATAAGTAAAAATCATTACTATAGTTTCAAACGTAACACCTTTTATAAATATTTTGCAGTATGACAGCAAGGAGCAGGTCTGATATCTGATACATCAGCTCCAACTTGAATTACATATCATGCCTGGCAATTCTGAATGTAACATGCTACATCATACAAAATAAGTAATGGTACTTACTTTTATACATTCTAGCAGATACATAACCAGCAGGAGTTCCCAGCAAGACCCACAGTACAACTGCACAAGTCATCAAAGCTCCTCGGTTGGCAGGAGAAAGAAAGCCAAGGCAAGCTAGAACTAAAGATGTGAAAAGAAAGAATAAGCCATTTGTCAACACATTTTATTAGCAAATTGTAGAACATACACCATAGCTCACATGTTTATCCAGTTCACTGAGACGGCATATGTGTATGTTAACATACGCACACATACCAACTAGTCATAAGTGCACACCACTCTGGGCATAACTCTGAACCAAATGCTTGGATATTTTCACCTCATACGCAAAAGGCAAAGATTTTTGTGGCTAAAAGGCTTCAAGAGAGGCATATGGTTGAAGTCTCTGCTCCTCCAACGACTACGCCATGAGATTTCAGCTTGGAAATCAGCTTTCAAAAGCTTAAAGAATGATGCTTCTGTAAGAGCACATTTATTGCATAGGCAACCATAATAGTTTAATACATGCCATAAGAGTCGTCCAAGAAAAATAGGCCCAGAGTAGTAAAAGGCAGTGATTTAAGTTTTAAAAAGGTAGTTATAAGAAGCATGAAGATAACAGGACTGGATCTTCAAGTACTGATTTAGAAACGTCAAACTCCAGACAAAGGCTATCACAGCTCCCATGATGGACAATGCTTATCCTCAGGAACAAGGTGGACCATCTGGAAAACAAGGTCCCCATATTTAAAAAGGAAAGAAAAAGGGGGGGGGGTAAGTTGGAGTTCTTGAACAAACTGCAAGGGCAACCCCCAAGTTGAAAGGCAGTTATTCAATTACAGACTCTGCAACTAGTGGTATGTGAAATTTTTGTATTTGGAAATAGACTCCAAGAGCTGTCATGGATTTGGAAGGACCAATTTATGAAGGCACAAAAAGGCAAGTTATTATACTTACATTTAAACACATTAGGAACAGAGAAAAGGACGCTGAACTACAACTCGGAAAAGTAATGCTCTGTGTGAAATGTTAGCCAGCTAGGAATGAAGTGAGTTGGGGTGAACTTTTTCATATTCTGATCTCTAACCAAGAAAAGAACTGATGAAGTGGAAAGATAAAGTTGCCATTTTCACTGTTAAAAATAACTGACCAAGTTTTTAAACTCTAAAACAGAAGAAGGCCAACAGAATGTTAGAAACCCAGAATTATAATCCTATCTTACATTATTGATTTATTTGTTTTTCCAACCTATACATGAGTACCCTACTCGGGCTAGTCAAAGACCATTGAGATTTTGTTGATGTGATTTTTTTAAAATTTAAAATATTGAATACAAAAGTTATTCCTCTCCCCATAAGATTTTCATTTCTACTTTTAATGAACAATCAACAAGGCAGAAAAATCTTCACTACCACTGTCTAGACTTTATGAAGTCTTATCTTCTAACAGCAAGTTTTCCTTGTTGTTTATTGATAATGGTCTTTGCAGAACAGCTACATAATCAGCCTTCAGGCCACTGGCAAGTCTATGCTCTATGGGAGTCAAAGGCTACAGAACTGATGGTTGCTTGTTCACGCTCAGCGCCACACAGGAATCTTTATTAAAATTAAAGCTTAAAAACAAGCCAGAAGGGAAAGCCAACATCTTACAGTATGCTGTTAAATATGGCAAGAATATATTTTAGAGGAGGATCAAGGACAAGTGTATACTGACTCTTCTGCTAAACAACCTACACTAAAAGGGAAAACAGGCTACCCTTTTTCCCTGCATAAGATGTTTATAGCTAACAGCGAGTACTGAAGGTCAGTCTGAATTTGCTACCATTTTATCTGGACTTCTATCTGTATTTACTGTAGTTCTCTGGTCTGAAACAATTTAATCAAAGACAATTTGTTTTTTGCTTGGCATAAAGATATACGGAAGATAATGTTTTGCTGGTACGTACAATTTAGAACAAATGATTTAATACAAAGTGCTACAAAAATATATAAACCTCAGTATGATCCAATATTTTATTGTGCAGTAACAAAGGGAGTTGTAAAAGATTTATATGAAACAATGAAATATACTGATTAGTAGTAGATTACAATGTTATTGTTGTATCTAGGTGTTTGTACCAAGCTCAAGTTACATGAGCACTGTCTCAATGCCATTTTATTGGCACATACTCAAGTTCTTATTTCGGAATGGCTGTTGACTGCTGAATCAAATTTATCAGAAAAAATGTGTTCCGAAAAATGTTAGAGCTTTGATTAAACGTCTTTGAACTTACCTTACTGGGGTCCAGGTATTATTGGACCATGATGAGTAAGTGTGGTCTTCTAGTATATTTTAACTTTTAAAAGGGGATTTGGACTAGGGCTACTTCACTTCTATAGATGTACAGCATGTGAATTAGCCCTAATAGGGAGATGCTGCAATAATGCTCAAAACACTACTATTTGCAATAGTGTTATTACAGTGATCTGGGTCATTACTATAAGCAAGTTATTTTTCTTTTCTTAAATAAAGTAAAAAGGATAGACAGCGATGCCAGAAATCATTTATTGTTTCTTACAATTACACTAACAGAATGTAAGTACGTAATTTTAATAAACCTAATGATACTTACATAGAGTAATAAATGTCATAATGAAAATTTGCGTTCCTTGACCCAAGAAGACAGATAACAGCATTCCCTTCCTTGGAGGTCTAAATACATCTCCATGAACCAACTTCCAACCAAATTCCTCTTGAGCATCTTCCTGCATAATAGCAACATCTTTATTAAATATACATAATTCAGCAGTGAATATAAGCAAGATGTGAAACGTGCTTTCAAAGTTTGATTAACTTTCAATTTGGTTCCAAAGACAGACTAATTGCATTGATTCATCACTCACTGATTTTACTGTCCCCTCATGGTTTTCTGGAAGAAATAGGCAAGATTTAGGATGAAACTACTTGCCTTTGAGAGTGGCAGAGAAACAATGTAATTAGCAAAGATCCTCATAAGGTCAATGTGAATGTAAAGCAAAACAAAGCATTCCGTTTCATTTAACCTGGAATACAGCAGTTCACATTTGTTTAAATATTTATCTCTTTCGCTTGTCTCAAACCATATCAGCCTCAGTAACTATAACAGTAAGGAATGACAGGATTTTTGCTTTACTTTGTAAGTGCAAATTTGGGCTCCCTCTGCTCCAAATATCTTCCCTGTTAATTCTTGAGTTGAGACCATAGTGTTCTTCACCATGTAGCTGTCATGTTGCTAAATAAACTAACGTAGTCTCTGAGTCTTAGGGAATATCAATCTGGAGGAACTAAGCAGCAGCCAACTCTGAAAAAATGGTGGTTTCCAACAAACGTGGCCCATGCTAAAATACCTGTGCCCCATTCAGTCAAAGACTGCTGGGTTCCCTACCCATCCTCCAGCCTAACTGTAATCAGTAAATATTTCCCTAGGGTGTTTGGTACCAAAAATCAAACATTCACAGAAAAGAGGTGGGAAGGAAGGGAAACAGAACTGCATGACAACGCACAACAGCTTAGCTAGTGACATAGACGTCTCTTCATTTCCTCTGAAACATTTTATCATCTTCCCAGTGTGAGGAGCTTTGTTTCCAACTTGTTGATAAATTACTCTCAAGAGCTGAGGGTATGCTAGAAGTGGGATTTTTTTTTTAATGTGTTTAGAAAACAGTTTTACAGCAAGTGTTATGTCAGCAGGGAAACAGAAACCATAGATCCAGAGTTAGGGAACATGATTACAAAGGTACAACATGGATGAAACGCTTCCAGACTCAGTATCATAATAAATTCTCCTCCAGGACAGAAGTCTTCTAGTTGCTCTTTTCCCAAAAGTACAGTGCACTTTGCTGTGGGAGTCCACATAAATCTGGTTCTCATTTCCAAAAGCAGGAAGCTTCTATTATCCTTACTAAACCTTTTTTCATAAACCAGTAAGTAAACAAAGCATTGGTTTAAAAGGTTGTTGCCTGAAACAAATGCTTATTTTTAATTTAGTTCAACTGAAAAATAAATCTTGCATCTGAAGAAGTGAGGTTCTTACCCACGAAAGCTTATGCTTCCAATACTTCTGTTAGTCTTAAAGGTGCCACAGGACCCTCTGTTGCTTTTGAAAAATAAATATCCCTTTTTCAGGATGGACTTCCTAAATGCATGCCTTCTATTCCAATGCAACAGGGGATGAGGCAATCACCTTCTATTGGCACATTTGGAAAAGTTTAACCAGTGAAAGTACATGAGTTAGATTTCCCATGAGAAATTAGTCAGCAAAAATACTTTCCTTGGAAAACAGAGCAGGTTCTGGTCCCATCACCAACTTTGCTCTGAAAGTTGATTCATAATCTGTGCTGTATGTCTGAAAAAAATCAAATCAAGCTGGGCAGCCTGAGCCCTTGATTTGTCTTATGTGAACCAGAGCACTCCTCACTCAATGGAGTTGGATTTTTAGTAAGCCTAGGGGTGGGTCTCAGAGGCCAGGCTCTAGCCCAAGCCAAAGTGTCTGCACTGATATTTTGAGCCCCACAAGCCCAAGTCAATTGACCCAGGCTCAGACTTGCTTTCACAGGTTTTTTATTGCAGTGTAGATGTACCCTAAAATACACCTCTACCCCGATTTAATGCAACCCGATACAACACAAATTCGGATATAATGCGGTAAAGCAGTGCTCCGGGGGGGGGGCGAGGCTGCGCACTCCAGTGGATCAAAGCAAGTTCGATATAACGCGGTAAGATTTTTTGGCTCCCGAGGACAGCGTTATATCGAGGTAGAGGACTTAGAGACAGGACTGCATTGGACTTAGAGCCACACTGACTATGAGAAGGTTCAACTGTTGTTTTCAATACAACTCCACTAGAATGGGAGTTCCATCTGCTTATGCCAGAGCTAAACCTGGTCCCACCATCTAGCTGAAACTGCAGTTAGACCACGATTGAATAAAAAAAATATCAATGTCCTACTGCAAGCTTGGTATTTCAAACCTGTAAAACAAGTAGGTTTGAAACATGCAATGTTTAGGCCTTAAAATGAAGAGGTTTACATCTACAACTGACGATTACTAGAAAACAATGCTCTAAATGATAGTTTTAGGTCCATGAACCTCATGCTTTAGATTTAAAGTGTAGAAGTAGTCCTTTCCCCATCCAGTGCACAAATCAAATAAACCTGTTAATAAAATATTTCATTAAGATTACGATAGGACTTCAGAGAGCACATTTATTTGCATTTAAAAAAAAGGAACAAAGTTGTACCAAATTCACTTCAGGTTGATAAATTTAACCAGTGAGAGAAGCAGAATGATTTTGGTTTTTACCATTACAATGGACTTGCAGAAACCTACGTATAACAGTATAGAAATTCTCAGCTTGCCTTTGTAGCCATCACTTGACATATTACAGATTTACTTGTTAGTGTCTCTCACAAGGCATCCAAGTATGTGCACAGGCACTCAACATTAAGTTCTCTGAAATATCTAAATAGCACTCACACCTCACCTTTGCTTACCCCTAAAGTTTGTCCTTCCACATTAAAAGTTTGTCAAATCGAGGTGGAAAACTGAGCCTCTTAATCATATCTACAACAAATACTCCCTTCTTTAGAGAATCTGAAATTTTAGTAAGGCCATTTATTACTCCCAAAGAGCTGATATGTCTACATATTACTTACAGTGACCCCCCAGACTGCATTCAAAACTGTAGGTAATAGATTTTTCCTTCATAGAAAATGAGATAATCTAAAAACCGTAAGAGTTCTACTCACAGAGGAGTCAATTTGGTTGTATCTTGCAATATCTTTATGAAGAGTCCTCAGTATGATCATAGCCACCATGCCAGATAAGAAGAGAACAATTACGAGTGAATTCATTATGCTGTAGATAAAGAAAAAATCAAAGTTTCTATCCGCTTTTTCAGACTTCAGCATATGCACTGCAATAGTCATAATATGTGCACATCTGAAGTCTGAAGCACATTTTTGGATATCAAGTTTTTGTGTAAGTCATTCTGTCAGGTATTTTAATGTTTTCCTACACAGAAAAAATAAATTATAATATGACATACTACTATATAACAAATAGGAAAGCCCCTGCAAAGCCATTCTGCCGAAGAGCAGAGAAGACTAGAGAATCTCAAGCCAACTAGTTTTAACCAAATGGATTTTATATATATGAAATAATCAAATGTAATTCCAGTAAACAAATTAGTTACATATTAACTATCCGATTAATTATTTCATGTTTTATATTGCTTTTTTAGCATTTATGTACAGCACAGCATTTTCCTCTTTACTGTACAAATTATACATTAATTCATAAACAATAGCTCTTTTGGTACATTCTTTAGCATAAAAAAAATCTCACTGACTATTTTTTGTATTTAACAGCAGCAGCTAATATTAAAAACAAAACTTTACCAAATAAAGATCTGTACATCAGAGTAAGCCAGATGGTAATGGTAAGAAAACTGATGGGCAGTCACCTTCCAAAAGCTCTGCAGAACAAGATGATAAAGTAACCTCCATGTTTTTACTTTGCTTTTGGATACTAATGGCACATTCCTTTGGTGACATTCAATACTTTAGTCACTCTCAAGAGATCCAAGACTGATCAAAGTTACTTCATGTATTGAAACAAGGAAGTTCATTTGCTTGGAAACTAACAGACTAAATTTTACATGTAAGAGTTACGTATCCTGAAAACTGCAGGACAAGATCTTTGTGCTTCACAGCAAGATTTATTCGCTCCATAAATTAAATGTTTTACCTAAACCACTGAATGTTGGTATGTGGCATGGACTCCAAAATGTAGTCCCATCTGGAAGCCCACTTGATATCATTTTCCTATAAACAAATTGAAACAAAACGATTAAACAAAAAAATGGCTTTGGAGGAGTAAAGGTTTTGATGCCACTTCCTAAAATTAGTGAGTATGCATAATCTACTTGACTCCAATCTTCATCTTAGAGACAGGTCTTTTCCCTGCCTTATACTCTTCAATCTCTTCTTCTGACTTCTTTATTTTATGACTTTGTCCTTCTCTGCAACTCACTTTATAATGTCCATTGCCTGTAATTTTTGAATTATGTGTAATGTTTTTGGGCAAAGTTTATATTGATCAGTGTTCTTCAGAGTAAAATTATACAACAAGATTGAACTCACCTCTTCATGTGAGTTCATCAAGCTACTCTGTGAAGTTACCATCCCACAATTTGGTAAATAGATCATGATTCGCTGGATCAGGTTTTCAGAAAACTGTGTGCAATTTACTATTTGAGCATCCAATTGAACTTCTGTATGTGCTGTATGCAAACAGCAAGTGCACAAATGTTTATTTTTGCACATGCACAGGTCTAAAAGCCCGACCCTTCAAAATGGGTCAAGATGTCAGTCTATCATGGCGTCATTACCAAAAGTCAGCTACTGTAGAACAGAGAGCAGATTTCTGTCTCCTCAGTGTGCAGACTGCAAGATCAGACTGACAAAACAGTGGCCAAACTAAAACAATGCAGGTGCAATAACAAATCATGAAGCCATTACTATTTAAGAAATGGGCTTAGTTTACTTTTGAAAAGTAAGTGTCCTGGATCCATAAGACAGCCACTATTGACTTTACTGGTTTATTAATTTAAATTTTAAATAAACAACAACAGCCTTTTTTCCTTAGAAAAATGGATTCTGACTATATCTAAAGTAAAGCTTAACGACAGCAAACTGCAGATAGTCAATTTGAAGTGTACCTGATATTTAAGATGTAAATAGTGACATCTGCTGGAAATATCTGAACTAGCAGGAATTATCGACTTGCTGAAAGAACAGATGTCCCACATGCATAACGCATTTTGTAAATTACTGAACAACATTGACATTACAATTTGCAATTTATCCTCAAGATTTAAACACATGTTAATAGACAGGAGGCTCATGCATGTAGTAAAATCAGCAAGTCTAAGGATAGCTCAAGGGAAAAGTCCAAGGTTCTATATTCTATTACCTCAAAGACATAGGTTCGAGTCAACTTCAGATGGGTGGCTAATGAAAGCTATTATCATATGACAGCTGTATGGCTGCCTTTGCAAAATGAACTAGTGCTCTCAGTCCAATTCCTAGTAGACAGGTGTCTTACATCATAAAAACAAACCATAATTGCCACTTTTTAGGGTAGGCTGAACAGAGGTACCAATTTTTGAAGCAACAGGGAAACTGAACTATCCTCACACCCATAAGAGGTTACTTTTCAGGTTAGGGTAAAAGCACATTTACAAGTACGATTTGCTACTTACTGCCTGTGATGTATTAGGTGAAATAAGGACTCTGTTTTCAAAGTCACTTATCAAGTAGTTAATTTAGTGCTTGCAAGTGTCTGGGTAAAATTATAAGGAAGGCACTTTCAAATCAGATGGACTGCAACTCAGTTGACAAGAACTAAAAAAATATGCTCGCTATAAACTGATTAATTAAAGCAGGTAAATTATAAAATCAAAAATGTCTCCAAGAAAGTTTATATATAAATATATTCTCTCCAATATGAGGGTTGCTTAAGTTAGCGATCCACTATGAACAGTGACTATGTAGAAGAGTTACATGAACCAATAGCTCTGTTCCCTGTGTTTAGAGCTGGATTTGCCAACTTTAATGCCAAATCTAAATTTTAATTTTACTCCTATTAACACTGAAGATCCAATGAAGCTACATAAGAGTGACCTGGATTCCATTTCCTTCTTAACCATCAGAAAGACAGTTCCAGTTCCAGTTGCAGATTAAAATTTGAGAACAGATGGATTGCTCTGTTGTAACTGAAGGCATAATTTAACCTGTAATATTTTCAATACTGATGACGCATGATCAAAGAAAAGCCCTGCATAGTTTTCAAACTGAGAGTTGGTAGTTAAAGCCATCTTTTTACTTGTAAACAGAAAAATTTGCTTCTGGAAGTCATTTTTCACAGTGCTCTCCTACTGCATTCTGAACTTTGGGACTGGACGTTTAATATTTTTAGCTACAGAACTGCTTACATTCCCAAGTTGTTCCTCAGACACTTTAATATTCATAAAACTGTATTAAAACAGTGGAAACATTTATACTGAATAAATGCATAACTGCCAGAAAGAACCTGGATCCAAACAATTTAGGAGATTTGTTCCAAAACATTAATATACTTACTTCAAATTTCACAGAATAAGTGTAGATCAAATCCAGTTTGTTCGTGAATTTAGCAGGAATCTCCATAGGGGGACCTCCACAATTTAAATTGTTTTTATCTGTATGTTTGTAGCTAGCAAGACAGAAATTTTAAATAAGATTCATAGCTGCTGGATTGGGTAGAGAATTTCAAAATTATTTAAAAGTAATTAAGACTAGTATGTGAAACATTTGGCCATCTAACTTTTTGTATCTTTTCCCACCGTTTTACAATTTATTTATTGAGAACAGGCCTTCCTGTTCCCTCTATCAAAATGGACTTCACCTCTGAACATGTGAAGGGTTTGGTTTGAGGATTTAGAACAAGGGTGGGCAAACTACGTGGCCTGAAGGCCACATCGGGGTATGGAAATTGTATGGCGGGCCATGAATGCTCACGAAATTGGTGGTACAGATGCAGGAGGGCTCCAGCTGGGGGTGAGGACTTTGGGGTGGGGCCAGAAATGAGAAGTTCAGGGCGC